CCCACAACTCCCCTGTGCTTCTAGGACCCTCTGCAACGGCGGGGGGATGATATGCATAGTGGCCGCGGTTTTGTGGAAAGAACCCAGTGCTCCTTAGGGACAGGCACAGACAGTCTTTAAGACATGAGCAGACCCTGCTAGCCCTGCAAGCTGTCCATGTGATTAGTGACCCAATGTACAGACGCGGAAGCTGAGACGCTGAGTAACTTCCCTGAGGTTACATCAGTGATGGACAGAACCAGGCGTCCCGTCCGTGGTGGGCAGACCCTGAGCTTTCCTTCCTAATTATCCTTTTCATCCTCTCTTTTATCTGGGTGCTAAGGGAGGCAGGATAGTTTAGAGACTCAACTTGAGCTTGCAGTGAGGAGACCTCTGTGTCAGTCAGAGGTGCTCTGGGCCCCAGGTGTACACACAGGTGCTGCGGGGTGCGTGGACGGTGAGATGCTGAAGGGGCTGCCTTCCCTGATGCCTCTGACTTCTGTGTCCACAGATAAGCCAGGTCTTGGGCAATGAGATCAAGTTTGCTGTTCGGGAGCCTCTGGGACTTAGGTGAGTAGCAGGTCTTGTTTTGATGGCTTTGTGTCCTGGGTATGTGTAAGGTCCTTCATTACTGGGCCTGGCTCTGGATTCCACCTACACTGTTCATGACCTCCCCAAACAGCCCTGGGTGTCTGGGCTTCCCCGAGTGTCCCCTGGGGTCTGGGTTGAGAGTGTGGAGGTAACTTTCCCCTCTGCACCTCCCCAGGGTCTGGCAGTTTCTTTCTGCTGTGCTCTTCTCCAGTGTGGCCATCATGGTGAGTCCTTGTGTCCCGGTCCTCATTGCAAGCAGGTCTGGTGCTTATCAGCTGCTAGCACCTCAGACTTAGAACTAGATGATGGAAGGAGGAGGTGGACGGGTGTGGCCCTTTACCCACCCTCAGCTTCTGCATCCCACCACTAGTTGATGCTGTCTCCACATCGAGGCCCAGCTGTCAGGGTCTCTGTGGCAGTCTGCCCCTCACCAGTGTGCTGTGCCCCAAAGCAACTAGCACCTCATGATTTGGGCTCTGGGAACCCGTGGGAGGGGGCAATCAGGTCCTGCCCTGGGGATCCTGGCCATGTCCTTGGAGGAAGGATGTCCCCAGCATTCATCTCAGCCTGGACCTGACCCTGTGGTCCTCTGCTGTTCACAGGCCCTCGCACTCCCTGATCAGCTCTACGATGCCGTTTTTGATGGGGCTGAGGTCACCAGCAAGACTCCCATCCGCCTCTACGGTGGTGCCCTCCTTAGTGAGTACTTCTGGGCCGATGGTGGGAGAGTGGGGAGGCCCAGCTGGCCTCAGGGCATCACCTGGACCCTTGGGGATCCTGATACAGCCTCCTTACATTCCCAAGCAGGCTGGCAGCCTGGGTCCCTTCATCTGTGACTGTGCTGAGCATGGGCTGCCACCTCGTGGCCATTGGTGGGATGCACATGGTTGGTTGGGAGTATTGAGGCTGCCAGCGTACTGCCCCTGGCAGTGAGCAGTGAGGAGCAGGGTTGAAGGAAGCCCAGGTCCTGCCTACCGGTGTCTCATAGCCTAGAGGATGCAGAACAGTGTCCTCCAGACCCTTCCCCCACTCCATCTTTATCCCGAATGCATTTGGTCCTTTTGGTTTCTTCTCTAGTCAGAGTGCACAACAGATGACAAGTCAAATTATAGTTTTAAAGTTCAACATAAGGGCCATCACTCCCCTCCCTAAAATATTCTATGGCTTTACCGCTGTTTGGAGATCAAAGCCCTGCATTGACGCCTGACAGTCAAGGTCCCGTGTGGGGGCTGGGCACATCAGTGGAACCAGCCTCACCTCCCTATCTGCTCCTCCTGTGTTATCTGTTGGGTCTCAACGGCAGCTGCACTAAAAGGTGCCTGCTCCTCAGTTTCAGAGGGCCACTGGTCCTTTGCACATGCAGTGTCTCCAATTTTTATGCCAGTTGGACGTAAACTTGCTGTGAGCAAGGCAGTGCTGGCGATGGGCTGTCGGGGTGGCCGACATCACCTGGGCACACTGTGGCCACTGCTCTGGTGTCCAGAGATCAGACACCAAGGGGTAAGCCATGATGGTTGCGCTGACACTAAAATCAAGGCCTGTCCTGCTCTCCCAGAGTAAACCCTTCTTTGGCACACGTTTTCTGTCTCCAGGGGCTCCTCTGTTAGGGACACTAAGTTGTAGGCCCAGGTAACTGGGTTCCCAGACTTCCCCACACAGCATCACACGGGCAGAGGTAGCGTGGAGCTGGAGGTCCTTGTCCCATTGTACGCATGAAGACACTAAGTCCCAGGGAAGAGAGCCTGGCCTGTGCTGCATGGGGCTTTAGAAACAATGTGAACAGCATCCAGAGCAGAGCTGGGTCTGCAGAGACAAGGACCAGGAGAGGGGCAGTTTGATCTCAGGAGTGGGTTTTGTGGGATAAGGTGGTTCGGACCCCTGGGCTGGGGGTCAGGCCGCCCCTGTGCTTGGTCCCAACAGGCATCTCTCTGATCATGTGGAATGCGCTCTACACGGCCGAGAAGGTCATCATCCGGTGGACTCTGCTCACGGAGGCCTGCTACTTTGGGGTGCAGTCCTTGGGTGAGTAGTGTAGGGTGGGAAGGCTGGCGGGGTGCCGGAAGAAGGGAACAGAACACTGGGGACTGTGACATACACCCATGTCCTGAATCCACAGCCCACCTGCTCCCTCTGTAGGTGCATCCTTCAAGCCCACCGCCCACTGATACTCAGGGTTGTGCATTGCTAGGCACCTGCCACTTGGGGCCAGCAGACTAGGGGGATCTGTCAGCTGGACTGGGCTTGGTATTGAGCTCCTGGAGGTCAACCAGCCCTCCCTCCTCAGCACCCCCTCCCCAGAGATGAGGGAGGGTGTTTAGCCTAGCACCATGGTGGGAGGGACTTGAGTACATCTCTGTTCCTGACTTCTGACTCCCCTGACTTCCTTCACAGTGGTCACTGCCACACTTGCTGAGACAGGCCTCATGTCCCTGGGGACCCTGCTGCTCCTGGCCAGCCGCCTCCTCTTCGTCCTTGTCAGCATCTACTACTATTACCAAGTCGGCCGGAAACCCAAGAAAGTGTAGCTGGCTGGGACCTGCCCGGGCCTGGAGCTGGGCCAGAATGGCTGGGGACTTCACTGCCTGTGGGCCCCAGGCAGGTCTGCAGGCAGGCAGGCAGGGTGCACCCACCTTCCTTCCCTGCCAGGCACTCCCTGGAGTCAGCTTGCACCTTCTAGGCTTCTAGGAGAGACAAGTCAGGCTGGGGCCTCTGGCTTTCTTGACCTCTAGACTCTAATAGACACACAGTCTGGAGTGGAGTGCTGGGGTCTGGGCTGAGTCCGGGTTAGTTCCTCCTCCAGGAAGCCCTTTTCTCTCTAGGAGATTATATCAGCCCCAGCAGCAGGTCTCAGCCCCTCTCCATCCAGAAACGTGAAAACTGGGTCTCCCTATATGAGTCCCTCACATCCCAAAAACACACACACACACACACACACACACACACACACACACACACACACACACACACACACACACACACACACACACGTTTCCAGGGCCCCTACTGTGGTCGGCTATCAAGGGGAATGGCTGCCTCCCTTGGGCCTAGGTCCCCGTCCTTGATCTGCATACCTGACCCTCTCTTTGGCCTGCTGTAGAGTGTTCTGATACTCTGGCTGTCTGCACCCCAGATCCCCAGAGTCCCTCCCAGACAGACCAGGGTTAGATACTATAACACAAGCCCCGACAGGGCCTGGCACCCCAGCCGGCCATAGGCTCCTAGCGCATGAGGAATTCTGAAGGAGAGCAAGGCAGGGACTTTTCCTAGGCATGGCCTCCAAGGCCTGCATGGCCACACCTGGCTCAGTGCCTCCTCTAGATCCCCTCCAGAGGCTGTCCCAAGGCCTACAGCCCCTCCAACTCCACAGAAGTGGGTCTGCCCTTCCTCAGCACCCTGATAGCCTGACAGCGGGGCCCCTAGAGCTGAAGACACACCCCTGGAGCCACCGTCCCCTGTGGCTCCTCCCCTTGCTCCTAGCTCCTAGCACTTTTCTTCCCTTCAGCAGCAAGCACACTAAGTAAGGGAGGTAGCCCGAGGCCTATCTCTTTCCCTTCTGCAAGGGGGTGGTCCTCCCCCCACCCACCCCCACCCCGGGCCCCTGTGCCTGGGGAGCTTTTCTCTAGGGCACCTGGGTTCACAGCTTCCCTGAGCTTATTTGGCCCTGCAGCCCAGTGCCCCACGACAATGGCCTATGCCCAGCAGAGGAGACTCCGGGGGAGTTTTCAATGGAAGACATGCCCCAGCGGAGGAGGCCCAGGCTGCGTCTGCTAACCATGGTCTGGCAGAGTGGCGAGAATCTGGGCTTTCAAAGAAGGGACCGTTGTGTGCAGCCACCCTCCGCTGCTGGCTTTGTGCCAGTCTCTCAGTCCCACCTCTTGACTCAGAGCACAGACCCAGCCACTGCCACCTCTCAGTACAGTCGCAGCTGCTGTAGACGGGGTGGCACTGTGGACAGTTCTCAGTGGTGGTGGGGATTTATCCTCTCGGATCCCCCTGCGAATGCAGATAGAGTCCCAAAGGGAGGTAGTCAGAAAAGTGGAAAGTGCCGGCCATGCTCAGCCCTTCTGGGGACACCTGCCAGTCTTCCCTTCAGCGACAGGAGGTGGCAGGTCCTGCCCTGGGGTGAGGGTGGGCTGGTCAGGTCACCTTGGTTAAACTGCAGTGATACCTTCCCTTGGGCTGGGGTCAAGGCCAGACCAAGGCTGGCATTACAGACCTGCTTGTGGCCTCCGGGAGACACTAACCTAGGAAGGAGGCGGAGATGGAGATAGGAACCCCACCCTGAATCCAAGCTTGGGGTGCCCTGGCTGCCCCTCAGCTCTTGTCATGCTTCTGCCTCAGCCCCCAAGACCTCCTCTGTCATGGCCACTATTTATTCCTCCGTCCTTTTTCTTTTTGTAAGAAACAGTCACAAAAACCAATGCAAGACGATCTGTTTGGTGTCCTGTTTTATATTACAAAATTTCTCTTGATATAGAATATAAAAGGGGGAGCTTGGGAGTTACAATGATAAATTAGCTCTGTTTCCTACTGCAAGGGACATTTACAGATTCCAAAATAGACTATAACATATGATGTGTGTGTGTGTGTGTGTGTGTGTGTGTGTGTGTGTGTGTGTGTGTGTGTGTGTGTCGGGGTTTCTGGGGGCAGGGTGCTGGGCTCAGGACCTGGGTAGGCCAGGGGCTTGGGACAGGGTGCTGAGAAGGGCATGGGCCACAGATCCAGTCTTCGCTCCCTTCCTAGAGGACACTGCTGTCCCTTTGGCAAGTGGCTCTGGGACAGGTAGAGGCTGTTCTGCTCACTCCTGGGTGAGGGTCACAGGGCATCTCAGGTGAAGCTGTAGGTCCTGGGGTGAGAGGTGAAGGGAGGGTTCCGTTCCCCTCCCCTGGGAGTACACAGAGCAGCTGTGTAGCAGAGGGTGCTGGCTGAGGAGTTGGAGCCATAGCTGGGTTGGATCTGGCCTACCCTGGGGCTCTTCAGCATCTATATGCAAAGTTCTCCTGTTGAGAGTATGGTCTACCCTGGAACTGCCTGGGCTGGCGATCTGCCTTCTCAGCCCTCTGTCCCGGGCCTGCCTAGCTGTCCTGGAAGCCTGGCCTAGCTCTGGGCAGCAGCCCCTGTGCTTGGGCTCTGTCCTGTTCAGCCAGGCCATGAGCCTCCCAATCGACCTCAGCTGATCCATTTGCCTTCCTAGGCTGTTGGAGCCCAGTATGCCGTGGGTTCTGAGTCAGAGCTAAGGTTCTCTTAGTCTGGAGCTGGGAGCCAGCACTGGGGTCCTTTGACCTGGTGACTCAGTCTCTAGGCTTCATTTTATGGGGATGCCAAGTAAGTTGTCATAAGGACAGCTTGGAAAAGTGGTGCTCAAAGACCCCCAGAAAGTCCAGGATGGGTGAGGACATGAAGAGGAGGGTCCCCTTGAACCCAGACAGCACAGGCAGTAAGGGAGCCCTGGGGTCCAGGCTCCAGCTATGACTCCTAGGTGGCAGGAAGGCAGAGGGAAGCTGGAATTAGATCAGGCTCTTCCCCCTGGGAGAGGAGAGCAGGCACTCCTTCCACCACTGCTCCCTCACCCCCCCTGCTGAGCCCATGGCAGACATAATTAATCAAACTTGAGATTCTGACAGACAACACTAATGGATTCAACATGGTCCTGACAGGGTCAGGCATCTTGCAACCCAATTGGCAACCTAGTCTGTAGTCTGAGTTGTGTGTGTGTGTGTGTGTGTGTGTGTGTGTGTGTGTGTTTAAGTTGTGGACCCATGAGTCTGGGTAATCTGAGCCTAGAGAGAATAGCAAAATGTCATCTGGACAGCCAAAGGACAGAATGTATGTCATGGTAGAAATGGCTGAGAGGCTGTGGGGTTCTTTAAGTCCGCAGACAAGTTATGACTTTAACCTCTAGGAAGGAGAGAGAGAAGGGGGTACATGGACAGAAGCACAGGAAAACGGAAACCCTTCTGTCTGTTGAGGTGATGGTGACGTTAGAGCTTCTGAAGGCAGGAGGCCGCATTGGGAGGTAGTGAGCATCACATGTGGAGGTATGCAGGGGGGGGGGACCGGATTCTTGGCAGGGACCTTGAAGAACACATTCAAGCCTCATCTCTGGGTAGAAAGAGAAGTGAACAATACCGGGGTGTCTTCCACCGGGGAGAGGAGGGAGGGGTGTGGCCCACAGGGACAGGTGATGTATGGCAGTAGGCTTGGGTCGAGGTACCAGCAGGGCAGAGTGGACACGGTTCGGACTTTTCTCAGCTGTAGAACTTGGTGCAGGCAGTTCCTGGCCAGCTTACTCTGGGATGCTGAGGCAGATCTGAGGAAGGCCTGGCTGGAGTGACAGCAGCCCAGAGATGACCTTGTCATGCACGGGTTGTGTGACCGTGGACAGGTCACTGTCCTTTTCTGGGCCGTGGAGAGGCTTTGATCCAAGAGATGAGGAAATCAAAGACAGCCACTTTCAGATCCAGTGTCCACACTCAGCCACCCTCTGCCAGCCAGGAGCAGGGACAGCCTCGTCCTCCAGCAGGTGGTGCTGCAGATTCTGTCCTTGGGTTGTGAAAAGTGCGTCTCCTTGGGGCTTCTGAGCTCTGGCTCATCCTCCAGGGTGTGTTTCTGCCTTCTGGATGCTCAGATCCTGGAAATGTTAAGAGAGGGGACCCAGGCCAGGGGACACTCCAGTCTGACAGGGCCCAGGGGCTCTGAGGCTGATAATCCTTTGGTCTCAGGAACAGCTGGTCCCAGGCCAGCCCGAGGTCCTTGTCGACATCCATAGCTCCTGCCTTGGAGCCAAGGTGAGGCCTCTTTAGTTCACATCTGTCTCTGTTTTTTGTTTGTTAAAAATTAGCTCTATGCTCCTGGCCATCTGGGCTGGCTTTGCCTCCTCCCCTGGGGCCAGAGGACAAGAAAGGGAGGGGGCTGGCTACTGGACAGTGGTGAGCTGGGTATCTTCAGACCATGGCCTACTGGATGCCCCGGAAGAGGCACATGGCAAAGATCATGAGGAAAAGCTGCAGAGAAAGGGAGAAGGTGAGCCAGAGTCAGGCTGGGTGTACACCCAGGGGTTACCCAACACACTTCCCGAGAGGATTTTTGATACCACCCAGGGCAAGCAAGTGCTTGCCATCCATCTAAGGCATGGGGGGGGGGGGAGTGGAAAGCAAGCGATCTGTTTAAATAGTTCAAAACTGCATTTCTTGGGTCAGCAAAGTCTTTAAGCAAAGCATAACCCTTCTTGGGCCCCAAGTGTGTACCAAGTGCTGACCGTGTAAAGTAAATTTTAAGTGCTCTATCAGCAGGCTTTCTAACCAGCAGGAAGTGAGGCACAGAGAGGTTGTACAACCTGATTCAACACAGCTCCAGTGTGGCAGCCAGGCTTGAACAGAGACATGCTGCCTGCCCTCAGAGCTCCCCTTGATTCTAGCCGCTGCACTCTCAGTGAGCTCACGGGGACGTGATGAGGTTTGCAGAGGTAGCAGTACCCTAACCTTGACCTGTTGCGACAGTGAGGGAAAGCTACGCACACAGGACACTTTCTTGACATTTGCCCAGCCCCAGGAAGATCTGTGTGTCTGTTGTTAGTTTTGGTTCCTACGGGAGGCTTTGTTCACCTCCAGCTGTGCAAGCATACAGCAAGGGCTCAATATATGCTTGCAGGATTAACAAATGATGCCCCCATTTCCCCTGTGGCTTATATTATCCCGAGAGACAAGGCACAGAGGACATTGAACAAGGAGATATCCAGGGTACCAGGTGAGCAGAGCATCCTTAAAGGGGCCCTAAACAGCAGGAGGCAAGGGCCTAGTGTCAGGCTGCCTGGCTTCATTGCCCCCCAAAGTGCATCCCAGAACTGGGCAGGGGGCAGTGAGAAGGGAAAGCTGAAGCGCCACCTAGTGGTAGCTCATAGGTCAGCAGCTACTCAGATGTGTATGCTCTGGGGCCCTGGGATAAAGGGTACTAAGGCTTTATTGTTAAAAAGACACTCCGAGCGCTTGCAAAGGCAGGGCCTTATCAAGAAGCACCCCAGTCGTCAAGGCAGCTCACATATCCCACAACTTGGAGTGCAGAGTTGGGGTGAGATGGGGTATCTCTCAGGGCCTGCCTACTCTCATTGTCCTGGGATAAGCAGACTTGTAGCTTCAGGCTACAGGGATTTCTCTAGCAGCAGATGTTTGCAGCAGCCAGCAACCATGGATCTGGGAAGTAGGCTGGGTGTCCAGGCCCCAAGGCTTCTTCCCAGGGGCCCCTACTCACCTCAATAGCCAGCACCCCAATGGCAAAGGCCCCAGCCAGGTAGACATAGGTTTCGAAGGTGTTGAGGATCACTGTGTAACAGCCCTGGGAAGGAAAGGATAGGGATGAGGGAGGTACATTCTGCAACTGGGGACCATTGTTGGCACTGAAGTCCCTGGTATTGGCCCCAGTGCTCAGCAATACAGGCTGACATTTTCATACTGATGTGGGGATGAGGAAGAATCAGGTCATTGACAGAATTGACAGTATCCCCACTCAGTGACATCCAGTCCCGAGACAAGCTGAAAACTTCCCAAGGCTAACTCAGCCTTAGACCCAGGGTATGAGGAAATGTCCAAGCACCCAGGCTTCCTGGTGCTCTTTAGAAGTTGAGACTGAACCCCGGAGGCAGAGCTGCCTGGGCTTCTTCAATCAGAATGTCCTGTGGTGCCCCACGTCCCAGGGTGGGACAGCAGCTCGCAGAGGTTCACAGTGCCCCTCAGTCCGTCTCTTGACCAGCCTGACTGCTAACTTCTCAGCCCTTCTCCCTCAGGCTCACAGGGGCAGCCACCTCCATGCAACTCATGTGCCTGCTGCCTCTCTAGCACCTTGGGAGACAAGACCTCCCTCACTGGGCCTCAAATACATCATACTTTGTGTCCCTGCCCCTGACCCCTATGGTGGCCACAGACATCCACCCATAACAAGTCCTCTCTGTGAATTATATATACAGCAGTGTTGATGATCAAACCTAGGACCTAATGCTGACCATGCAAATGCTCTACCACTGAGCCACACCCACCCAGCTCCGAATGAAATATATGCATTTTTTTTTTGAGATAGGATCTCATGTAGTCCTGGCTACTCTTGAACTCTCTATGTAGTGGAGGATGACCTTGAACTTCTAGTCCTCCTGACTTTATCACCCGAGTGCTAGGATTACCCAGTTTATGGGGTAGTGGGATGGAACCTAGGCTTCATGCATGCTAGACAAGTCTATTGGTTGAGCTATACCCCAGCTATCCGAAACACATTCTTAAAGAAACAGTTTTCTTTCTTTTATGATTACTGGAATATTCTTTGGGCCCAACTGAGGACTTTCAAATGGTCTGGCTTGGTGGTGTGGCAGGGGTAGGAATTGTACCCATCTATGTGGGGTGACTGTTGGATTTGGGGTTCTGCTGAGGCTGGGGTCTTGGTGTTTAAACCTCTTGCTATTTCCTACTCAGAATCCCACTATCTTTGGCTAGAAGTGGACCCAAGGAGGCTATCTCTGAGCAAGGAGACAGTAGGACCTGATCAGAGACAATGGCCAGGTGGGAGTCACAGTATCTTCCAAGTGGAGGCTGGCTAGGCGCCAAGGAAGAGTGGGGGTGCCTATTCTCCTTGGAGCACCATGGAGTGAGTGGACAGACTGCCTAGACACACACAGACTCCAGCACAAGTGACCCTAGTCAAGCAGCAGGTTGGCTGGTGGAAACTCCCCTGGGACAGGGAAGCCCTTGGCGAGAGTCAGCAGAGGAGATGCTACTACCTACACTTAGCATTCCCTCTGCCAGGAGCTTTCTGGGATTCATGTATCCTCCATGAAGCCCCTAGTGAGAAGTAGCTTATCTGTGGTTTACCTCCTCAGAAACGGGGACAGAGCAGGTGGGTGGCTCACTTGAGACCACGCACACAGCAGGAGGGGAAGCTCAGATCAGAGATGGGCCTGGGATTCCTTTCCCCTTTATCCCGAGGGGACAGAACTATTTCAGAAATGCTGTCCTCTTGTGTCCAAGCCCCTCTATTTTGTCAGCCTGCATCTGACAACACCCTGGGTATCACTCCATGATGGAGCACCCCCATCTGGCAGAGGGACAGAACATCACTCTCTAGATAGTTGTCACAGGGCCTATCCTCCAATGTTCCGGTGTGGGAGGATGTTCCCCACCCTGGTTCCTTCTCATAGTCACCCCAAACCAACCAGAGAGAGGGCAGCTCATCCTGGGCAACAACACCTACATTCTTATCATTAGGATGCCCTTCACAGGCTCCAGGATGAGTACCCCACTGCCCACCTGGGATCCCTGCCTGGATATCTCAAAGGTACTTCACACTCAACATTCCCCAACCTTTACAATGTCCCTCAACACCTGTACTCACACTGAGATTCATCACAAGGCCAGGAATTCACCTCACCACCACTCCAGTCTCTTGTACCATCCTTCCTCCTTGGGACCACTGTTCATGCAGAACTGTTTTGAATTCCTAGCTCCAGGGAAGCCAGAATCCCAAACCAGCCACCTCCACATTCCCGAAGGAACTATATACCACTTCTAGCAGTCTGGCTTGTGGCAGTCACACATGTGTCCTGGGCTTTGTGGAAGGCAGTTCTGAGAGAATCCAACTGGAGATGGTCTCCCATTGGAGGCTCTTAACAGGAAAGACGGCCCCGAGGGAACGCCAGTGAGAGAAGCAGCTCCAGTAGCTTCTGGCCCCACGGAACCCCCAGAGGCTCTGGGATGGAGAATCGATATGGCTGTGTGGTCCTCAGCCCAGGAGACAGCAGGCATGTGCTCATGGGGGAAGTGTCTAGAAACCAGGAACTTGCAGGAGAAAGTTCAGGATGAGGGGTAGGGCGGGGCAGGAGCCTGGCTGTCGGACTCTCTCCCAATCCCACTCAACTTCTGGTCCCTCAGCAGCTCCTTCAGTGAAGGAGCTGTGTATCTCCTCTATGGTCTGCTCGTTCTGTGTAGATCTACCAACACAGCATCTTCTCCCTGTTCTCGGCAGGGTTCTGGGTGGCTGCATTCTGGTGGAAGTGGGGGCGTCACACTTTCTCATAAGGGAAACATCAAAACCCAAATGTTCTTTGTTCATATCCCCTTGGCTAAACGTGTGATTCCGGGCCTTTGACAGACAGGGGGAGAGGCGAGGCTTCTGCCTCACACTCCTGAGCTGCTGTGGACTTTTCACCCCCTGCAGGGGAAGCATCAGGGAAGCAGTTGGGTCAGCAGGCCTCACTATTGGTGAGCAGGTAATGGCTAAAGCCTGTCAGCAGTGGAAGCACGAGACCCCCCCACATCCCTGGTGTTTCCCTTGCTCTGCACATAGGTCCCTGCCATCCAAACCTTCAGCGGCCTGCTCTCTCCGTCGCCTCCGCATCCCGGTGCCCTCCAGCTTTATTCCTGTCTCTTTCCTGAGGGTAGGAAGGCAGGCTTTGTGACAGAGGAGCTGAGCTCTGGCCTGTCCCACATGAGTTCCAGGGACAAGAGCTGAGTTCTTGGTGTCAAGTTGAGGCCCTGGGTTCAGGTCTGAGTCCCACGATGCCCTCCCTTGGGACTCTGAGAAGCTTAACCTCCAGCCCATGCACATCCCAGCTCTTTCTTCGACCAATTTTCACCCTCACAACCACCACTGTGGGCAAGGATCACTTTTGTTCACGGGCTCACCACCTTCCACCTCTCCCTAGACCTGGGTCCCCATGGGAGCAGGGCGGGGCCTTGTCTCTTGTGCTCCACCAGCTCCCAGCATTTGAAATTCTCCCAGGGAAGTCTGGCCAGGGGACAAACCCAGATGTGGCTCTTGTGCTCATCCCCTCCTTCCTCCCTGCCTGCCTGCATCCTCATAAATAGAGTGTATCCCTAAGGAGGACCCCGACCCCCCACCCCTGACTTCTATTATTAGAAGTTTGGAAAACTCACCTTGGAACAACAGCCCCAATTCCCACCCCAGCCTGAACCCAATCGTCTCCCACCAGTGTGATCCTTTCCCCGTTTCCTTGGATCTCAGAGGCATGAGTCGAAGGCCATGCTGCCGCAGCCAGAACGGTCTAAAAAAAGCCCCCGACCACCTTCAGACCCTCCGGGCAGACATTGCTTGCCCCCAGCATTGCCTGTACTGGTGGAGTATCTGCTGGGAGTAGGGCAGTACCTGTTTGTTTATGAATGGATTCCGTCCCAGCTGGCATTCCTCCCTGTTGACCAGCACCCCATCCCGAGTCTGGGGTTCCCTCCGGCAGCAGGCCTTGGGCACCTCCTCACTGTCGAAAGTCAGCAGCCGAAACACTGAGGCCATCTTGAAGTCTTCGGGCCCGTTGACCCCACAGCAGCCAAACTAGAAGAGAACGGAAAGTGGGAGCTGGAGCTGGAGCAGAGGGGATGTCAGCCTCGGCCAGGGCCCAGCTCCCTCTGCCTTCCTTGTGACGGTGGTGATGGCCAGTGTCCCTGGGCTTCGGGTCCTCTCTGTAAGAGGGGCATGGCAGTCTGTTCCATACCTCATCAGCACTTGGTAAGCACTTCACATATAGTTGCTATGATTTTAGAACATGCTATGCTAATTATTATTGTTACTTTGGCATGTGTGTAGTTGTTCATGTGCAGGTGTGTATGTGTGTGTGTGTGTGTGTGTGTGTGTGTGTGTGTGCGCGCGCGTGCGCGCGCGCACGCGCGCGCGCAAGCAGAAGCCAGAGGTCAGTCTCAGATGTCATAATTCAGGGGCTGTCCTTTTTTTTCTTTTTCCAAGACAAGGTTTCTCTGTGTAGCCTTAGCTGCCCTGGAACTTGTCCTGTTGACCAGGCTGGCTTTGAACTCAGAGATCTGCCTGCCTCTGCCTCCTGAGTTCTGGGATTAAAGGCGTGCGCCTGCATCACCCAACTGTATCTTATTTTTTGAGACAGGCGTTTTACTGGTATCTGAGGCTCATAGATTAGGCTAGGCTGGCTGGCTAGTAAGCCCCAAGGATCTACCTGTCTCCTCTTCCCCGGTGTTGGGATTATAAGCGTACGTCCTAACACCTGGCTTTTACATGGGCACTGGGACTTGAACTCAGTTCTTTGTGGTGTCACAATAAGCACGTCACTAACTCAACCATTTTCCCAGCCCCTGTACTAATTATTATTAACATCAGTGACAATGGCTATAGCTTTAGGACTGAAGTCAGGGGCAGTGAACAGATTTTGTGGAGAGTCTGGATGTGGATTCACTAGCTGTGACAGCTTAGAGTGCTGTGCAAATGATGATTCACAGGCCAAGAATGGGATCAGTGATTCTTGCTTGACTGGTGATGTCTGGCACAGGCAGGGGACTGGAAGCACTCTAGAGGCTGACCCCTAGACCCTTTCCAGGTCAACATTATGGCTTTGGATGCTCACGCATTCCAGGATGGCATGGCAAGGGGCCACTCACTGTGATCATGACCGAATTCCAGGTGGCAGAGAACACGTCCGTGTCATTATTGCCTTGGTAGTGCTTGGTGAGCTCCTTGGTGAAGAACTCGCGGGTGAGCTGGGGACAGAGGAGAGGATGCTGAGTCTGCTGAGTCTGGCCTCCCAGGTCATCCTGAGCTGCCCGTTTGGGGCAGGCACCCCTTCCCAAGGCTTGGGGTCTTGCTGTGTCATCATAGGCCACTGCTATGACAAGGCTGTCTGCACACACAGTGCCCAGCTAACCCCAGGATGGAACACACTAGGGAACCCTGCTCAGCCTAGCCGCTCTTCTCAGAGAATGGGCACTGGGGAGGTGGGGCAATTGTCATCCCGTCCTTCAGAATCAGCAGGTGGCAGGCCCGACCTACGGGAAGCCAGGGTGTGGGTAAAGAGGGAGCCTTCAGTGACCCCATTGCTCCTGGCTGTGTCCTCAATGTCACTGTTCCTCAAGCTGGCTCCTTGTCCCAGGCCAGCCCACGTGTCTCATCCTTCCTTCTCTCCTGTTTGGAGCCCAGGCCCTTCTAGCTGTGGTGCCAGGCCTTGCCCACTAGGCTCAGGGCAAGGAGCTGGATGAAGCTTCTGGAATGCATGGCCCATGATGTAGGCTAATCAGAGGGGCTGGTAGCCTACTATGACACACAACATGCCCAGACTGGGTTTGTCCTCTCCCACCACCTGATCACGTGACACCTGTCATCAGGCTGTTATTGGGTTGGATATAAATTCTAGAATCAGGCTGGAGCTAATATCAGGTGGTTCAGGAGAGGGGACCCATAAGCACCCCTGGGTGAGGACTTCTGGAAATACTCCTACAGAAGGAGGACTGCACTGGGCTGGCTTGCTCTGGCCCCTGGCCCCTCCCTCAGGTGCAGGTCATGTTTAGGCTTGTGGGACAGCTCGTTCTAAGAGACTCTTTGGGAGGGGAGGCAGGGGTCACTCTGCAGCCCCCGTCCTCGGTGGGCAGGGAGGGCAGCAGGGTGGGAAGCCGAGTGGTACATACGTGTTCCCTGAAGATGAAGGCCAGGATGGCTGCTGAGAGCTCTACCAGGAAGATGACCAGGATAAACAGGAAAAACTGCAGAGAGAAGGCGACCGTGAGGCCCACGTGGGCACCGTTTTACCACGCCCCCTGCTGTGATAGATGGGGTGCACTCATCCTGTGAAGCAGACCTTTGCTGCCATAAATCACCGCTCTCATAACAAACACGCCAAGGAGCTGCCCTTGGAGGCACAGAGTTGCAATAAAAGGTATGAGCAACGCAGGCAGATACATCTGTCTTCCCAGCACATGGTCACTGGGAGAGGTGGCTTTGTAGAGTGTACAACCTGAGCAGCCCTACCTGGGGGCCCTGGGAGGAGGCTGCTGCTGGAATTTGCTTGGGGACATTTCCCTCTATGAATTATCCAAGCTGTGGGATCCTGAATTTTGGGGGATTCCAGGCTGGGTTCCCTACCCTATTAACCTCAAGGCCACTTTTTTCCCTGCCCCAGTGTCTCTGGTTGCCATGGAAATAGGGAGGCCACGCTATCTTTAGTAGAAGCAGGGAAGCCATGTTATCTTCAGCTGAAACATAGGCATGAGATTGTCAGCAAGGTAGCGGGACTCCCAGAAAGTCCAGGGGAGGGGAGTTTGATGTCCAACACAAATGATGTCCCTGTCTGCTCCACTCACTAAATTCCTGTGTTCCACAGATTAACCAGGATGCTCTGGTGTGGAGCCCTCCCATGCTGGGTGGTCTCTTGTGCCAAAGTTAAGCTCCAGCCTCACCCCTGAGAGGCTTGCCTGACTTCCCTCAGTGGGCCCTCTCCACATCACAGCATCGAGCAGAGGCACCCCAGCAGGCACCCCAGGACTTTGCCACCAGCTGCAGCCTGCCTTCCTCCAGCACCTGAGAGGACTCACAAATGAACAATTGATCATGCCGACCCTGTGATACGTTATGTGTCTCAGGCACTGGTCCTCACCAACACTGTTCTGGACTTGGCTCAGAAAACAGGAAGAAGCACTTTGGCCTGCCTTCTTCAGTATACTTACAAACTTCATCCTCACCCCTGCTGGGACCACCAGCAGAGGACCCACTGCGAGCACACCCGGGCTGGTCCCTGTGTCCCATCCTCCTGGCCACATTCAGGCTGCTCAGCCTGTATGGGTTGTACTGGACCAGAAGGAGATGAGGGTGTTGGGCTTAGCTTGAGGAAATCTAGGGTCCCTCTTTCCTAATAATACGGGACGGGTAATGAAGATGGATGATATAATGGAGTGAAGATGTCCCCAGGCCGTGGAACATGCCTCTTGCTCAGAACTCAGTCACTTGGCTGTGACTTCCTGGATGCCCTAGGCCATGGTGGATGGCTCTGAGGGATTTTCTCTCATCATTTTCTTTCTCCATCAGAAACCCGTCACTTCGTCCTCATCCTGGGAGACCCAAGTCTTTTTCCCACTGTGGCTTTTCTGCTCCAACACAGCTTCCCCAGAGAGGTCCCAAACTGCTGAGCATGGGCCACTTTGGGAAGAATGAAGGACAGCTGTCAGACAGGCAGGCCTCTAGACCATTGCATAGTCTGTTAACGCAGTGCCTGAAGAGAGGAGGCCTGTCTCAGACTATCCACAACGGGACCATCTCCCGGGCCCACTGCGCTGCCAAGGGAGCAGCCTGTGGGCTCTCTGCATCCCCGATGGCTGTGCGCACCACTGTTTCACCATCGGATGGGCAGGCACTCGGGTTCAAGCTGCCTCTGACCTCTGACACCGGCCCTGGCCCCAGTCTTTCCCATGGCTCTTCTCTATCGCTTTCTCTGGTCCAAGGAAGCTGAGGAGGCGATGACTGGCCCCAAGGTGTGAAGACTGAAAACCCCCAGGCCACCCCTCTCCTGTTTGGGGCTTCTGGCTGCCTCTGTGCTAAGAGAAGGCCTGCATGGCCCGGGGAAGCATGGCAGGTGAGTAGCAGCCTTGCTGGAGACAGTGTGGGACAGCCTGGCACATCTAGGTGGAAAGCTGACTCCAGCTGGAAACCCAGCAGTTCTCAAAGACTGGGGGTGGTGGTGGTCTTGGGCTGAGGACAGGGAGCGGTGTGAAATGGGGCAGGACCCTGGCCGCTGCTCCCCAGTCTTTTCTGCACCCTCTGGCCTGGCTTCCATGAGTCTGGCTATGCCTGGGCAGAGCAGCCACTGAGAGAGTGTCTTTTTGCAGCCTCCCCACCCTCCACCCTGGCAGAGACCTGGCACTTCCGTTGGGCTGGTCATCAGCTCTACTCGACGTGGCCTCCCCAGGGCCCCTCCCCACTCTGTGTCCTCCCTGACGGTTGGCAGGTCCTCTGGCTGTTGACCCCACAGGGAAGCTCCTGATGCTGGCGGTGTCCAGGAGTCACAAATGATGGCTAGCCCTGTGCCCATGCGTGATCGCTTTGCAGTCTTCGTGAGATTGTAGGTGTGAGGTGAGCTTTGCTTGAGAGCAACCTTGCTGATCTGCAGGGAAGACCACTGAGAACCACCGGAAGCCTGGGCACCATCTAGGAAAATAGCGGCCGCCGCGTCCTTGGCTCCTACCACCTCAGTGCTGCATGCCACTCCTGGAGGTCTCCTTCTGCAGCTTGCGGGAGGGGCAAGTGCCCTGGGCAGCAACCCTCCATTTTGCTGCTGGGCTGTGGCTCAAGAGGAGGTGGTGTTGATGCCATTTGGAGGTGACTGCATGTGATGGTACTGCAGTTTGGGGGTGACAGCAGGAGCTTTCAGTTCTTACGAGTTGTGAATGGCCAGCACTGATGCTTTTCATTTCCCATGGATCCAGTCAGGAGCGGAGCTAAGCAAGATGCACATTTTCCCAGTGGATTGTGAGCGCAGAATGACAGCTGGGAAGATCTGGTTATCCCCATTTTACATACGAAGAGTCTTGGGTTCAGAGAGGTTAAGCAGCCAGCCCTGGGATGCACAGCCAAACGTCAAAGCTTAAGCTCTCACTAAAACCTCTGATCTGCCTCCTCCTTGGGCCCCCATCCCAAGCTTCCATTGAGCGCCTGCTCTGAGATACTCTGGGCATGGACCAGCCAACGCACTCAAGGCAGACACAGGCTCACCCGGGGGAGGGCTGCACAGAGCTGAAGCCTCAGGAGAGATGCCAAGAAGAAATGTGGCAAATCTTGGCCCTGGGAAGGGGAAAGAGAAGCCTGCCCAGAGGCCGGGAGCTGGGAGCTCCCACCCAGTGCAGATCTGCCCCGCAGGGTGTGAGTTCAAAGTTCAGGTTGCAATACCTCCACCAGACACAATGCTGTTTCCGCCCTCCTGGGGCTCCTCCAGTCAAGTGACTTCTTCCTGCTCACACAGCTTCCTGCTGCTTGGGACTTTCCCGAGGGGGCCCAGGGGGCCCTCCCAGGGATTCCCACCCTTTGATTTCTACCTCTGTTGAGGACAGCAGAGCCTGGGCACTCTTACCCATGGGGAATGTCCTGGTTCTCCTTTCTAACAAACAGTCCCCAGTTCCCACATAGTAGAGCTCCTGTAACTGTTCAATACCCTCACTCACTCCCCGCTTCTACCCTCTCTTTTCCCTCCCTGCCCTTGTTTGAATTAAAGATACTCTTTAGGTGAGTTGAATATAGGGCTCCTTGTGACACAGGAAATGGCCAGGACAGCATCAGTAGAGCTGGTGATGGGGGACACTGACCCATACATGTGCTATCATCGTTAGCTAGGCTAGCCATTCGGTGACTGGTCACAGGGCCGATTCTCCTCAGACGAAGGCCCCAGAACCAGTCAGGGCTGGCTCCATGTCCAGGTCTTATTGCCACAAACCTTGGAGCCAGGGTCCTGGGATCGCTAAAGCCGTGTTCTGTTTGTCCTGTCCAGACAGCCAGGCTAAGGCGGAAGTCAAAAGCCTCCAGGGAGCCCCCAGATGCCACCAGGGTCTGACTCTGAGGCCCCTCTTCTACAGGAGCAACCACATAGCCAGCTTCAATTTGAGAAAGAGAACTGGTTGGAGCCTTTCTGAAAACCTTCCAGAAGGGGCTCCAGCTCAGTAGGCAGAAGGCTTGCCTAGGATGTCTAGTCCTGGGCTGGGTCCCCAGCAGAGCACAAGCCGGGCATGGGGGCACCTGTAATCCCCGCGTTTGGGGGGTGGTGAGGCAGGAGGATCAGAAGTTCAAGGTCATTATTCTCGCCCCCATAGCAGGCCTGGGCTTACATGAGGCCCTGTCTTAGAAAAACAGAAAAGCTTCTCAAATGATCAATGGCCCTCAACCCCACCCCACCACATACGTGCTACCTGTACATGTGTTTGCACACAATTCACACACTACTACATAACCCACCAAACACGCAACACAGGTACACACACCATATACACATAGCAAAACACATATGCATGTGTAATATGTACACATGCACCCGTAATAAACTGTACAGGGTACCACATGCCACACATGTACCCACAACACACATTCATGTGTCCTTGCACATACATGCACACACTTAGAACACACACACACACACACACACACACACACACACACACACACACACGCCCACAGCTCTAGTGTAGTGCTCTTGCACATGATTTTGGCCTGTCCAGATCTATTCTGGGTTGGGGCTGAACAGCGCCGGTTTGGATGGCAGCAGTCTGAGTATTCTGCCTTGCTTCTGATCCACACTGACTTGAGGCTTGTGTGAACCGGGCTTGGGAGCAGAGTGAGCAGGGAACGGAGAGAGGCGGAATGATGGGAAGGGAGAGAAAAGGGAGCAGGAAGAGAAACTGAGAGATGGTGGAAGCCGAGAGGGCAGAGGAGGGGCTGATGTAGAGATGAGCAGGACCAAGTGGAGACAGAGGGGGTCAGCGAGGAGGGGACCCGGCTGGGATAGCTCTTAGCTGTCCTAAGGGGACTAGTCTGATCCAGCCTGTCCCCAGCTCTCAACCTCCTCCTCAGACTTCACAAAAGACAAATGCCCCATTCTCCTCTCCAGCTGGCAGGGTGCAGGGCACACTTAGCCGAGGCTGGCAACGCAGCAGGGCACAGTCTGCTCTCAGCCAAGAGCACAGGCTGCCTTCCGGGCTTGGCTGCTGGGATGGACCCATTAACAGTGATGCATCCCCGGGGACCACGGCGAGGAGGGGAAGGCATGGCCTGCTTTCCAGATCCCTTTTCTCTCCCCTCTCTCTCTTTTATTGAGACAGAACCTAAGGCTGTAGCCCAGGCTGGCCTTGATCTCACAGTAGTTCCGCATTAGCCTCCTCCGTGCTGGGACTACAGGTGTGTACCACCACGCAGGTGTGTACCACCACACAGGGCTTACAAACCCTCTTTTCATGTGTACATATGTGTGTCTGTGTTTTCAGTTAGCATACAAAGCAGCGGGTTTCTTTACGCATTTTCACACCTCTTTAGTTTAGGTTGCTCCCTCATCTCCCCATCTTCTCACCTCTTCCTTCTCAGCACCCCCAATCCACCTTTCATATCATATACATTCTGGTATCTTCCCATTCCCTCCCTTAACGTCCCTTTTTCCCCCCTCTTGGGCCCCTTGCTAGTTTTCTGGCCTCTACCCAGTGCTTACTCCCACATAAATACACATAAATAAAAATTAGAAGCTTGGATCTGCATGAGAAAGAACACGCGCTATTTGTCTTTCTGAGCCTGAGTTACCTCACTTAATGTAATATTTTCCACTTCCACTCATTTTGCCTGAAAATTTAATAAATTTCATTTTTCTTTATGGCTGAATAAAATTCCATTGTGTATATGCACCACATTTTCATCATCCATTCATCCACTTTCTGGCTATTGTGAACAGAGCAACAGTGAACATGGATGTGCAAGCCTCACTGTGGTGTGGTAGGACATGGAACCCTTGGGGCACACGCCTAGGAGTAACACAGACCGGTCATCACACACTGAGACCAGGTCCCTTTTAAAGGCCCTTTCTGGCTGGCCAGCCAGAGAGCTGCTACAGGCAGGAGCTGACGGATGCGGAAGGGACAGTCCACTAGGGGGCGCCCGCAGGTTTCTTTGTCTCTCCTAGTAAAGTTGGCCGCGTTCTGCTCTGAGAAATAAAAGGACCTACAGCTCCCCTGCCGCTCGTGTCACAGGCCATTGCACTTCCTCTCTGGGAGGTGGAGCACACAGCTATGGTAGGAATGAGCCACATGGGGGTGTCTTAATCTGGGAGGAGCCCCAGGCCAGATGTCCTCCTCTAGCAGGCTTGGTGACAGTCTGTAGCAAAGACAGTTTCACTACTTGCACACTTGGCTGTGCCCAGGCTGAAGGGATCCCCCAGGGGGTCTGAACCGAGTGGCCTGCCCTCCAGGAGTGAGGCACTGGCTAGTGTTTTCTGTCCCGGCTCCCGAGCCTGCCGTTTGCCCTGGGCCTCAGTCCATAGTTTTGTGAAGTACTCTCCTCGGGTCCTCTATGAGGAAGTCCTGCAGCCCACCAGCCAAGGTGGCCCTGTCACTGAATTGCATGCTCTCTATGCACAAGGAGCATCTTCAGGTTGGAGGCATGTGTTCATCCCTAAGCAGGAACCCTGCAGCAAAAGCTGAGTTCAACAGTGAAATTCTCTTGGCTCCAGGCCCACAGAAGCTCCTGGGAGAGCATCCCATCCACCAAGACCAGGACAGCAAGCCCACCTCCCCACAGCCTGGAGGAGTCCAGAGAAAAATCATCTGCTGCTGCCTGATCTGCAGAGATTCAGCCTCCAGCATAGCTAGTCGGTCCCTCGACACTCAAAGATGCTGAGGCTGAGAGGGTAAGAAGCCAGATGGGCAGCACAGAGCTGGGTACACACTCACACCCAGGCTTGCCTCCTGCCTAGCACATCCTCCCTTAGTGGCTAGGTCACCTCTCACAGCTTGGGCATGATGGAGGGAAGTTACTCCATGTCTCTGACCCATCTCTAGCACAAAGGGAACTGCAAGGGTACCCCCAAAGCAGGAGTAGGAGGTCGTGATGGTTAACATGGACTGTCAACTTGCCAGGGTCTAGAGTTACCTAGGAGGCAAGCCTCTGGCCATGTCTGTGAGGAAGTTTCTAGGTTGGGTTAACTGCAGAGGGCAGATGTGCCCTATATGTGGGCATCACCACCCCATAGGCTGGGATCCCAGAATGAATAAAAACCAGAAGGTGGGTTGAGCATCAGCATGCATCTCTCTCTGCTTCCTGACTACAGAGACCATGTGACGAGCTGCCTCAAGCTCCTGCCACCATGCCTTCCCCCCTTGATAGATTGCACCTCCAAACTGAGCCAGAAGAAACCGTTCCTTCCCTAAGACGCTTTTGCCCGGCAATTTGTCATAGCGAGGAGAAAAGTAACAGATAGAAAGAATTAACAAGCAGCTTCGGAAAGCATTCCATCTCCACTCCGCAAGTGGAGAGCTGCAGTTGTGATCTGCCTGCAGCCAGCTTGGCTTCGTTACTCAGGCTTTATAGATCAGGGCTTTTGGAGGAAGGAAACCATCCTAGCCAATACCAATGCCCCCGGTGGACTGTACCCTGAGACGCCTGGCTGTTTAGACTCAAGAGGCCGAGGCCTCTCCAAGAACCATGAGCAGAGGCCCTGTGCAAACAGAAGGCTTAGGAGCTGGGGCAGCAGAGCTCGGGGACGGCCTTGTTCCTGGGGAGCAGTAACACTCAGCTCAGACCCCAGGGGGACTTCTTGAGCATGAACACAGTCAAGTGTGTTGTGGCCAAGGGCACTGGCTTGACTTTCGGGAGGGGGGGGGCGGTGGGTAGGGGAGCCAGGAGAAGTCAACTCCCAGAGGCATGGTCCCAGGGTCGCACAGGGTCACTCTGTGTTGGGATGGCAAGGAGTTAGATCTGGGGAGAGGAGGGAGACTGACGTAAGAGGCAGCTAAGAATCTTCAAATGCTAGCTCCACCAAGCAGTCCTCAAGCTGCTCGTCACTGCTCAGCTGTGAAGGAACCAGAACAATCATCTGGGCCTCTCGACTGGTCACAAAGTTAAAATGTAAACCAATGACAGTGAATACTGTCACCAACGCCCACAGGGAAGAGGTATGTTTGTGTCAGTACAGTTAGCTATCTCCCGCCCTTAAACAGCCATCTTGGGTTTGGGGCAACTCAGAACAGACTTTACCAGACCCAAAGTTAAACTAATAGAACGTAGTTAGTTGTTTTTTCCATGGTTGGTCTAAGGAGATGGAGAGGAGTTTTCATGTCAAAAAGCTCAGGTATTGTCCTGAGCAGAACTCAGTTTTCACGCCCACCTCAAAAGCCTCACTGGACCAAGATTTGAGGAGCCAGGTTCTTTGGTCTCTCACACAGACTCATCTTGACCCTCCAAAGCGTGTCTTCCCACCTCTGTCAAATTCAAAGCTCTCTCAACTGGTCTCTGCTTCATGTTTCTGGAAAGGTACTCTGGGACAGTGTCCCTGACCTTAGCCCCCCTCACCCGAGGGGGAGACAACAGTCTAGGGCTTCAGTGATAACCTCTGCACCAACCCCCGAAGGACTGTGGGTACGTAGCAGGACATCTCAGGGCTTCCAGATCACTGACCACAATCAGTGGGCTGGAGACTGAACCCAGGACTTGGTGCGTGGCACGTAGGTTCTCTACCACTGCGTTACATCCCCAGATCTCAGGACTCACTGGCCTTACTGCTGACAGCCACAGAGGTGGGAAGAACCTTTTGGTTTCTGAAACCAGGATGGGCTTGGGAGTCAGCAGCCCTCTAGCCCACCCATAGCAGCCACAGTTAGAGTCGGGGTGAGGGATGGGTCACTCACAAATAGCAGCAGACACCTGTTCTCTCGGACAGCCCCACAGCAGCCCAGGAAGCCCAGAAGAAACAGTAGGCCGCCCATGGCCAGGACGATGTAGGCGCCGGTGGTCAGCAGAGGATTGGTAGCCACAATCTCCCGGAAGCCAGTGGGATCCACGAGGACCCAGATGCCAACGCCCAGCAGGCAGGCTCCTCCCAGCTGTCCATAGGCGGGCATGGGGAAAAGAGGACAGACAGACAGTGAAGTTAGACGTTCCTTCCACACCCTCCCCTCAGTGAGGCCCGGGCCTGAAGTGCTGAGACCTGCAGGGTTAGGCAGGACCTCCACATGCAGGGCCCGAATCTCCACAGCTCACAGGCCGTTTTGAGTCTCCATGGGACTCAAAGTGGCCTTGGCTCCTTGACCTTCAGCATAGCTCATACCCTCTCAATTTATTTTTCTGACCTATGTGTCACCTCAGGCTGTGAAGGACTGTGCCACAGAGGGTTTATTTGTGACTTTCATATGCTTCTTAAAATGTCACAGCTCCAAGCTTAGGAGGTCTCCACACTGTGGCCCAGAGGAGGCCATTGACTTGCAAAAGGTCACCTCTCAAGTTCACGGCAGAGTCAAGGCTGCAGCCTAGATCTCCCTGACACTGAGCAAGCTCTGAGGGGGATGCTAAGTTCACAGTGGCCACGCTAGCGGCAGGGTTTGCTCAATGAACTCCCATTTTTGTTGTTTTGTTTGTTTTTCAAGTCAGCATTTCTCTGTGTATATGTAGGCTTGGCTGTCCTGGAACTCACTCTATAGACCAGGTTGGCCTTGAAGTCACAGAGATTCACCTGCCTCTGCTCTCAAGTGCTGGGATTGAAGGCGTGTGCCACCACTGCCTGGCTGAACTCTCATTCTTAAATACGTGCCCAAAGCCTCTCACTGATGCCTTTGCATGGCCCATCTCTCTCTCCATGCCTTGCTCATCTTGGGAGAGAAGCGGCTTAAGCTGGAGCAGGGGTTGCATCTGATGTGTATTAGCTGTGTGACTTTAGATCAGTGGCTGACTCTTTCTGAGCCTTGGCACCCTCATGGTTAACTAGCGGCTTGAATTCCCACCTCCCACATCAACCCCAGCAGAGAAGTCACAACAGACTTCAGTGGGCAGGACATTCCATTTCTCTTGAGTATGGACAGTATTGGAAGTGGGTCTGCTGTGTGTGGCAATGGGTTGACATTGAATCTGGGGGCCAACAGGACCTGATGCCACGGTGGCACAAGTGAAGAACAGCGGGTAGGTTGGGGATCACTGCCAGCTCTGGCTTACTAACAGCAGGCCTGTGAGCTGTGGCCGAGCTGAAAGGCTGGGTGAAAAGCCACTGGCAGGTGCATCAGGTGGGGTGGGTGGACAGACTAGAGGAGAAGAGGGCAGGCCGGAGGAGAGGCCAGAGCTGATTGTTGCACCCTGACTTTTGCCTCAGTTTCCCCACAAATCCTCCAGGAAGGTCTGCTCCTCTCATCACTGTGAGTGGCTTTGGAGTTGAATAGTCATCTGCTGAGAGCTGACAAGGAGGGTCCAGGCATGGGAAAAATGGGCTGGGGTTCCCAGCTAGGAGAATGCCACTTTGTCTATAGGCTGCCTAGCTCCAAGGTCCAGGAGTGGGTTCCAAGGAAACACCACAAGATGTGAAATTGGACGGGCAGAAATGCAGACAGCCTGCCACTGCTAGCAAAGAGACTATTCTTCCAGGACTGTGCCCAGGGGCCAGTGGTGGTGCCTGAACTAGAGAGCCAGGCTTGGTCAGGGAAGCCCCTGAAGGCCCAAGAAGGGGGGGGGGCTCTGCTACTGGAAGGGGCGGCGGGCCTGAGCAGGGAACTGGGTGGGCTGCTAGCATGGAAGAGGCTTCCTGATGCCAGGGCCTCTGCCCCTTCACACCCAGCCCATGGTTTGGAGGGAGATGGACGAACCTGTGCTGTATGGGCCACATTCTAGCCACCTTGTTCATTATCTTGCTCAATTTTCAAAAAACCTGTTTTAATGAGTCATTAAGAGATGAAGATGTCAGCCAGGCGGTGGTGGCGCACGCCTTTAATGCCAGCACTCGGGAGGCAGAGGCAAACAGATCTCTAAGTTCAAGATCAGCCTGGTCCAGGACAGCCAGGCCTACACAGAGAAACTCTGTCTTGAAAAACAAAACAAACAAAAGAGGAGAGATGAAGATGTTGAGGTTTGGGGTGATGAAATGTGTTTCCAAGGCGCAGAGCTGGGGTGCCAAGGCAGGCTCCTCTGAGAAGCTTCCAGTTACAAAGATGGCTGTAAGCCTGGCTTGATCGTGTTGGGGGGCATGGTAAGCAGGTGCACGTGTGTGTGTGTGTGTGTGTGTGTGTGTGTGTGTGTGTGTGTGTG